AGCAAAAAAATTCATTATTAAATACAATTTATATAAATTAATAATTTTTAACATGTTTTTTAATATGAATCGATTTATTTGTGAAAAGTTTGTTTTCGAATGATTTTTCCAAATAAAATCAAATGAAATTGAAGTTTTCAAATAAAAAATTTATTGGAGAGGGGTGGCATATTCGCCTGTTGCCTATGCACAAAAGAGTCCTAGAACCGGGCCTGGCTTTTATAATACTTCCATTCATTACAGAAGTAGGAATTCTTAACAAAATGTACAAAGATGAAAATTTATATCCTGAAAATCCACAGTAAAGACGATACCGAAAACCAAAACACCGATAACCATTAACAATTAAGTAATTAGTAATTAAACGAAAAACATAAAATTTCAATGGAGCAGTGGCGTCACTAGGGGGGTGCGGGGAGTGCGGACCGCACCAAGCATTGAATTATATATAAGAATGGCTTTATAGTGTTGACCTTCTTCTCAAGGTCAGGAAGCTTGGAAGCAAACTTTTTTAGCACCAAATTGTCAATGGGTTTTTCAGTTTTCCAATCTATATTTAGCTTCTTCCCTGTTAAACTTTGTGCTATCGGCGACAAATTCTTGTAAACATTTTTTACTGCTGAAATCATTCTATGGCAGTTTTAATCGATTTTAAACTTAATAATTTAACTGAATTTTGATCCATTTTGATTTTATAAATGTCATTTTCTTAAAAGTTTTACAAATGTTACATTGTGCCAGGAAAAACTAGACTCATACTAGTAGAAGAAGAGAGGTTTTTTTTGTATTTTTATTTTGAATTTTTGACTTTTTATTTTTTAAACTGTCTAATAAATTAATGTTAAAAAAAACTCAAAAATTTCAATGTCGGTATATTCGTTCGTGTACTTTAAAAAATCTACGTTTGTACTGGCATCGAAATTTTCTTGTTTTATCAACAACTAATTGGTTAATTAGAACTAGATAACAAGCCTCATAAATCTTTTTATTTTATTATTATTAATTAAAACAGTAATGTGGAATGCCATATTGATGTTACTTTAAATTTTAATATAATCAATATATTTTTTCAATTATAATAAATATTGCTATTGAATCAAATAATTGTATAAATTTTTTTGGATATGCTACNTGAAAATTTNT